AAGGCATGCTGATACTCAGCGTTAGAAGCTCTCAAGATACCCAAGAATGTTTTCTATGAGATGCTGAAAGAGACAGGACTTTTAAAGTCCTTTCAGGGGCAGGTGACTCTTACAGTTCTTACTGCCCGCACAACAGAGCTATTCTGTCTTCTGTTGGAATCGTGGGTTGCTCCCGCCCCTATTGCTGTGGCTAAGCCCTACTACTTCTGATTTCTCCTAGCTTTCTCCTGCCCTTTTCTTGACTTCTCTCTATAGTGCTGCTTTCCTATCAGTCCTGCCTCTGGTTGCTTCTCCCACACTCAACTCTTGTACAAAATCTTTGGCCCTTTTGGCCATTGCAAATCAGAATGTTTCTTTCTTTATAAAGGCAGACCAGTCAGTCATAAAAATGACAGGAATGTTTGCAATTGTCCATGACTCTTTTGTTCTCACTGTACATACAGTATAATAAGCACTCAGTATGTGTTGAATTAATGAGTACTTTTGCATAATTCTTTTCATTGACATTGCCTTATTTGGAACATTAGGGGAGACCTCATGGTTATTAACTTCTCTATTTAAATTTGGTGTGCAAAGGTTACTGCCCTCTAGATATTTTTTTTCCCCTTTCCTTTTGAAATTTGGCTATTTCCTAGTTCAAAATCACTCTGAAAGCCATCACGCAAATTTTTGGATGTTTGTAGTGACATTGAACTTAAAAGAATTTGGATTTATATTTAATATGTACATGTAAACATTAAAAATATTTTAATACTTCATATTTCTTGCTATTATGCCTTCTACAGAGGTTCTTTAGTAATTCTCATTGTAAACTCTTTTTCCCTTAGGACCTGGGAGAATTTTTCTGACAAAATTGTTATATTGTAAAACTAATGTTAAAGATGAAAAATGGAACTATTCTTCATTTATTTTTAAATTTTTAAAATTTTTTATTTTTTATTTTTTATTTTTTTAGAGAGAGGAGGGGCTGAGGGAGAGGAAAGAGAATCTGAAGCAGGCTCCATGCCCAGTGTGGAGCCTGATGTGGGCTCAATCCCACAACCCTGAGATCCTGACCTGCAGTGTGAGCTTCATGTTGTTTCCCTTCGCTCCTCAAGTCCCACAAGGCAGGCCCAGGTTTGAAACAAGTGACAGACACTTAACCAACTGAGCCACCCAGGTGCCCCCAAAATGGAACTGTTCTTCAAATGTGTATGTTAATATAAGATTTGTACAGACATATAGACCAGTGGAATAGGTAGTCCAGAAATAGCCCTCCCTTCTATGACCAAATGATTTTCAACAATTATTCAATGTAGAAAGGATAGTCTTTTTTAATACATGGTGGTGGGAAAACTGGAAATTCATATAAAAAAGAATGAAGTTGGACCCTTAACACCTTATATAAAAATTGACTCAAAATATATCAAAGACCTAAACATAAGAGCTAAAACTATAAAATTCTTAGAATAAAACACAGAGTACATCATGACATTGGATTTGGCAATATTTCTTAGATGTGATATCAAAAGCATCGGGGTGCCTGGTGGCTCAGTCAGTTAAGTGTCTGACTTGATTTTGGGTCAGGTAGTGATCTCAGGGTCATGAGATCGAGCCTTGAGTGGGGCTCTGTGCTCGGCAGGGAGTATGCTTGAGACTTTTTTCTCTCCCTCTCCCTCTGCCCTTCCCCTGTCCCTGCTCACACGCATTCTCTCTCTTTCTCTCTCTAAAAATAATAATAAAAAAAATTAAAAAGCACAGGCAACAAAAGAAAAATAGGTTAATCGAAATGCATCAAAATTAAAAACTTTTGTGCATGAAAGACATTATTAACAGAATGAAAAGATAACCTATGGAATGGAGAAAATATTTGCAAATCATATATCTGATAAAGGCTTAATATCCAGACTATATATAAAGAACTTCTGTGGGGCCCCTGGGTGGTGTAGTCCATTAAGCATCCCACTCTTAGTTTCCGCTCAGGTCTCATCTCTGTCGTGAGATTGATCCCCCTGTTGGCTCCGTGCTCAGTGGAGTCTGCGTAGGTTACTCTCTCTGTCTCCCTCTGTCCCCTCCCTCAAATAAATAAATAAATAAATCTTAAAGAAAAACCCAAAAACTTCTGCAACTCAACAGCTAAAAAACAACCTTTTTAAAAAGTAGGCAAAGAAAATAAATAAATAAATAAAAATAAAAAGTAGGCAAAGGACTTAGACATTTCTCCAAAGAAGATATACAAATGGCAAAAGCACATGAAAAGATGTTGAATATCACTATTTAGAAAATGCAAATAGAAATCACAGTGGGATACTACTTTATACACATTACAATGGCTGTTATAAAAAATCCCCAGAAATAACAAGTGTTGGTGAGCATGTGGAACAATTAGAACCCTTGAACATTGTTGGTGGGAATGTAAGATGGTACACAGTATGGAGGCTCCTCAAAAAATTAAAAATAGAATTACCATATGATTCAGCAATCCCATTTCAGGGTATATACACAAAAGAATTGAAAGCAGGGACACAAACAGGTGTTTGTACACCCATGTTCATGGTAGCATTATTCACAATAGCCAGGAGGTGGAAGCAACCCAGGTGCCCACTGATGGATATTTAGGTAAACAAAAAGTGGTATATCCATACAATAGAATATTATTCAGCCTTTAAAAGGAAGAAACCCTTGTTACATGCTACAACATGGATGTGCCTTGAGGACATTATGCTAAGTGAAATAAGCCAGTTACAAAAGGAAAAGCACTGTATGATTCCACTTATATGAGGTACCTAGAGCAGTCAAATTCATAGAACAGAAAATAGAATGGTGGTTGTCAAAGATAGGAGGGAATGGGAAGTTAATGTTTAATGGGTACAGAGTTTCAGTTTCAGAAGATGAAAAAGTTCTGGAGATGGATATTGGTGATGGTTGCACAACAATGTAAATGTACTTAATGCCACTAAACTATACATTTAAAAATGGTTAAAAATGGTAAGTTTTGTTATATATATTTTATCACAATTAAAAAAAAAAGGCTTGTGGTAGACATTATCAGTTATCTAGCCAAAATGTATGGTCTCCCTTTATCCTTACTGGCTGAGACCCTATTTTGTTTAGGTGTGTAGAACTTACCCTTGTGACTTAGATGGGGACCCTATCCCAAGTCCCAGGATAAATTCTGATTGACTTCAACAAATCAGGGTTGTTTTGATTATACTGCTGGTGGGGTTTTTGTTTGTGGTGGTGCTTTGTTTTTAGCTACATGTACAAAAATATTTATTGTAATGTTGTTTATAAAAGCAGAGTAGTGGCAAACAAAACCTCTAAATGTCCATCAGTAGGAGGAGACTGGTTTCAGAAATCCTGGCACAAATTAGGGACTTCTTTGTAAAAGTAACAACAACAATGACAAAAACTTTGTAAAAATAGTATATCTCCATATTTCTTAATACAAAAAGATGATCATATTGTTGAATTTTTTTTAAATGCTCCAAAACAATATGTAGTACTAAGGAGTAAAAGTGGGGAGAGAGATAGAGGAGGTGAGAGAGACTGGTGATTTTATTAAGACAAAATATTTTTTTAAGGGTAGGTACTTTTGGTCAGTGAGATGGGAAAGGAGGTGAACCGGGAGGTTTTTGGGGAAAGTTTTCTTGCCCTTAAGGAGCATATGCCAGAAGATACTGTCCCATTTTCTTCTAATGAATATTGTGCTTGAAGGTGGCACCTGAAATTATGCAGCCACCTTACACCCATGAGGAAAACCAGCCCTAGAATGAAGTAGCTGCTGAGTGCAGTAGAATGGAGAAATGAAAGGAACCTTGGGCCTTAGGATAACATCCTCAAGCTGCTGATTTCATTGGGCATGGAGCCTTTCCATCGTCTGGATTTTTTAAATGTGGACTTTTAAAATGTGAGATAATTTATTTCCTTGTTTAAACCAGTTTGAATTGGGCTTCTGTCTGTTACTTGCATTCAGAAATGTCCTAGGTGATATGAGGCACTTCAGAAGCATAAACTGTTACCAGAGAATTAGCTTTCCAGTTTGTGCGGGTTATTTTATACTTGAGTCAGGCTTAGGTTAGATGTCACAGTGGTGTCATCTTCCCTTTTCCTAATGATTTACTGGGTGCTTTTACTTCTGATGTCATCATGTTCTAGAACTATACAGTATGCGGTACAATCAACTGGAAGTGAATACAAAGTGTTTTATGATACTTATATTTGGTATTTTCTATTTTCCTTATGTTTATGCATTTTTCAAAATTCTAAGAATTGTACATAAATATAAAGAAACACTTCACATTTTAACTAAATCTTTTAACTATGTACATCTATTTGAAGAGAATTTTGGAAGATTTGATCTATTAGATGCTTTTGTTTGCCAAGTAACCAAAAAAACCCAATTTAAACTGGCTGTATGTTAAAAAGAATTTATTGGCTTATATAAGTAAAAAGCTAAAGATATATTGCATTTCAGGTAAGCTTGATCTAGCAGCTTAACTGTATCACTAAGGACTCAGTTTCTGTCTGCCTTTTTATTCTTTTCATAATTCCACAGTATCAGCTTTATTCTAGTGCTGGCTGTTCTCGTGGTGTTATTAAACATGGTCACTAATAGTTTGGGCTGTGTGCTTTCTTCATTTGTATCCAGCAAGAGGAGTTTTCCCAATTTTTCATTCTCTAACTTTGGAAACAAAGTCATAGGCCGCATTCTGAATAGACCAGTTTAGGTCATAAGCCTCTCCCAAGTCAGTCATTGTAGTCAAGAGGGTGGAAATACGCTTACTGGTTTAAACTACAGATGAATACCCTCGGAGGTGGGGTTGAAGTCAGTTGCATTCAGATTACACGCTGATGTATGTGGAGGAAAGGTGAAGCTGGTGTAGCCTTGGAATGAAGTCCATTGTACAGGGAATAGAAAAGGAGGTAAGCCATCTCCTCTGCCAAATATCATTAGATATTATTTCTGTGTTTCTCTTTCAATATTACATTGTTTTCCTTTTCTCTTTTTGTCTTATTAGCAAATTGTTTGCAAAAGAAAACTACTTGGCAGCTATTAATGCATACAATTTAGCCATAAGACTAAATAACAAGATTCCACTATTGTATTTGAATCGGGCTGCTTGCCACCTAAAACTAAAAAACTTACACAAGGCCATTGAAGATTCTTCTAAGGTATATATTTCTATTTATTTATATATGGTGCTTTAAAATTGTTACCCTCTTATTTATTGGTTTAAATGTTGCCCTTAATCTTTTTTCTTTTAAGTTTATGTAATTGAGATGCAAGGATTTTAAGAGTCATCTTGTTAGTTATGTTTTTTTACTGAAAAAAATTTTTTGAATTGACAAGAAACTGGTGTTTTTTTTGAGACTTCAAGGCACTATATTGCCTTGGTGTATCAGTTGAAATTCACAAGGAAATTAATAAATGCTTGTCAGTTTGTGCTTACCCTTTATCTTATTAAAGTTTCGCAGACTTAATGAAAGGTTGAAGGAAGAAAACTTGTTTTTTTCTTATTATCACTACCACTTGCCTAGTAGAAGGATAGCTCTATAATTTCCCAATTTTCAGAGTAACCTAGTATATCCTAATTTTATTATTAATATCATGTCATTATCTTAAACTTCTAGTTTTTTCTCTTTTTTCCATGTCAGAATAATCTGTTTTAGGGGAAAATCATATGCAAATCTCTTATGTGGCTCCTTGAGATTGAAAATATGAAGGAAATAACCAGATCCTCATGCTTTGATCTCATTAAGCTATTAAAAGATCTGACAATATTTTTATGATCCAGTTTTCCTTTTACTAGCACAATTCTGTGCACAAATATTTATTGAATGAATGAATGGGATAACCCAATTTGAATGTAAAGACCTCCAGTGTTTTTAATCATTCCTGCTAATAAAGATAAAGCTGTAGAGGTTTCAAATGATAAACCAAATCATCATTTTGGGAGAGAGGGTATGAATCTTGTATAGGAAAAATTGAACAAATCCTTAAATTGTTCAACACAAATATATTTGATAAATTTCTGTGCCAGTGAAGTAAAATATTTTGGTGGGTGAGGCTTGAGGCTTGTTTTAAAGTTAAGATTTTTATCATGTTTTTGCTCAAGTTTAAATTGGAAATTGTCTTTACCTTATTTTATTTTGTAAGGCACTAGAGTTATTGACACCACCTGTTGCAGATAATGCTAATGGAAGAATGAAGGCATATATACGACGTGGGACAGCATTCTGTCAACTAGAATTGTACATAGAAGGTAAGAAATTAATAGAGATGTTTTAAGTTCCAAGTTATGCTCTGAAAAAAGTGTCACTGGGATTATTTAAGATCATAACTTTTTAGGACTCCACTGTTTTATATTTTTAGCATTTAATATATTCTTTGCAATTTATCTGACAAAAAATGATTTTGAAGTATTTAAAAAATTTATTCTTATGGAAGGCAGTTAAGACAAGATGTGAACAACACATTTAGGTGTAGGAAAATGCTGTAGTATCCAGACAACTTTTCTATGAAAAGATGTGTGATAAAGGATATAAATGATGGAAATTTAAAATGAACTGCTTTGGTCATACAGACAGATACACACACAAGCTCGGAAACAAGTGATCTACCACAGTGTATGATCATTGCTTATGTTTGAGAGACTGTACTAAGTTTTGTTTCAGCCTCATGTGTATAGAAGCCACACACTTATTTTTTATTGTTTTTCATTTTTAACGTATTTAGGGACTTTTTGCAGTTACTCATGTTGCTCCAAAAGGCAAAATTTTGTAGTAGTATTTTATCTTTAATGCTCTTCTTCCCACACCTCCTTACCCAGAGGACCAGTCAACTTTCCTTTATTCAAGGCCTAGAGGCATACTCCTTGATGATCACTTACCAGGGAATGGGCTTGTCTATAAGGTTTTATTATTTCTGACTTCGTTTTTAAACTTGTTTCTGACATTTTGTAGGAGTTTTTTCTAACCAAAGCATCCAAATTAGATTTATGGCCCCACCCTTTATTTTTAGTCTCTTATCCAGCTTCATGATGATAAAAATGATCAAGACAGGAATGAAACATTTTAAAGCATTCTTTAGAAATTGTAGCATCATAGACTTTTTGAGCTAAAAGTACTCTTCATTTTAAAGATGAGAAAATGGAGGTTTGGAGAAGTTAAGTGATTTACCTCAAGTGGCATGGCAAATCAGTAGCACTTAGAACTCAAGTTTCCTTACTCTCAAATTTTCCCACTACTTATTTTGGTAAAGACTTAGACTCATTTATATGTATTTAACAAACAGTCCACAATGCTTTCCTTTTAAAGCAATTTTCCTCAAAGGAATTCTGTAGATATGACAACTATAGAAAAAACCACTAATGGATTTAATCTACCAAAATTATTTTTTTAAATCTAGAATTTCTAAATAAGATTCCATTTATTACTTTCTCATTGAGGTAATAAAAATGTCCTTTTTATATGTGAGTTTTATTGAGTCTGTTCATGCTTTAATGAGTTTAAGCTGTATATTGAATTTAAAATAACTGCTTCTGGAGTGCTTGGAAGGCTCAACCTGAAAAGTGTGCAACTCTTGATCTTGGGATCATGAGTTGGAGCCCCACATTGGATGTAGAGATTAAATACATTTAAAAATCTTTTAAAAAAAAAAAAAACCCAAAACTGGGCACCTGGGTGGCTCAGTTGGTTAAGCCACTGCCTTCGGCTCAGGTCATGATCCCAGGGTTCTGGGATCGAGCCCCACATCGGGCTCCCTGCTCATGCAGGAAGCCTGCTTCTCCCTCTGCCTGCCGCTCCCCCTGCTTGTGCTCTCTCCCTCTATCTCTGTGTGTCAAATAAATAAATAAAATCTTAAAAAGAAAATTAAAAAAAAATAAAAAAATAAAAAAATAAAAAAATAAAAAAATAATAAAACAAAAACAAAAACAAAAACAAAACCCCAAAACTGCTTCTTACTGAATCCTGAATGTAATGAGCATAATTATTCCTGAAATCACTGAAAATTTTCTGCAGTCTTTTAGAAATACTACATAGATATACGTGTGTGAAAATGAGAATCTGATTTTAAAACCTGATGCTTGTCCTGAACCACGTTCTTAGTGGTTATTTTTATTTAAAAAAATCATCTAGATACCACAAGTATTTATAAAATATTAATTTTATCAACCATCATTGCTATATAAATATAGGCCTACAGGATTATGAAGCTGCACTTAAGATTGATCCATCCAATAAAATTGTACAAAATGATGCTGAGAAGATTCGGAAGATAATTCAAGGAACAGAACTAAAATCTTAATGACTGCTGAAGAAACTAGGTATTGTACTAGGTATTGTTTTAAGTTTTTCAAAAAATAACTGGAGGCATTAGGAATCTTTGTAAATATTATGGCTGATTGTACAGAATCACTTTCTTTTTCATTCTGTAGAGGGCAAAATATTATAAATCTATAGAAAATGAAATGTTTGATTTGAATGGTTTCTGAATAAGTAAATCAAATTAAGAATTATTTAATTCTTTGCTTCTTTGATACATGGATTAATTACATATATATTTTGTTGTTGTTATTGCTGTTACTGAATTCAGCTTGCCCTTATAACCAACAAAATATTTCTTGGTGTGATGAGTACTAGGACATTACTAATTTATACCTGACAAGGTAAAATTTGAAAATAAAAGACCATGTTTATAATTTTTTAAATTAAATGTACTGCTTAATTGAATGGTTGACCTTAGTATAATCAGTACTGATGTTCACTTAGTATTCAATGCACAAAACCTTTACTTCTCCATCCTGTTGTGGGAGGGTAGACCAGTTCAATCTAGCAAAACAACTGTTTGGAAAACCCCTTTAAAAAAAAAAAAGATCTGGGCACCTGGGTGGCTCAGATGGTTAAGCGTCTGCCTTCGGCTCAGGTCATGGTCCCGGGGTCCTGGGATCGAGTCCCGCGTCAGGCTCCCTGCTCCTTGGGAGCCTGCTTCTCCCTCTGCTTCTCTCTCTCTCTCCCTCTCTCTCTCCCTCTCCCTCTGTCTCTCATGAATAAATGAATAAAATCTTTAAAAAAAAAAAAGATCTTATTCATTTACTTGAGAGAGTGAGAGAGAGAGCACAAGCAGCAGGGAGGAAGGGCAAAGGGAGTGGGAGAAGCAGACTCCTTCCTGAGCAGGGAGCCCAACTCGGGACTTGGTCTCAGAACCCTAGGATCATGACCTGAACTGAAGGCAGACACTCAACCAACTGAGCCACCCAGGCACCCTGTTTAGGAAACCTTATTTTCGACTTTAACTATATGTAGTGTTCCCCAAAGCATTGATCATATTTCATACTATCGGGTGAAGGTAAGTTTTCTAGTGAGATGTTTTCTAGTACCTTCAAGTATAACAGGAAAAAGACAGCAAAGGGTGAAATGTTAACACAGAATATTATGATACTGGCATTGGATTGTACCACCGTTTGTGTTGTACCACAGTGATGATGCAAGCATTAAACAAAAACAGTACAGCTTCCCTTTTGTAAATAGTAGTTATCACAATTGTCTGATTATAGTTAGAGGATTTTTAGAAAAACAAAACACAATTTTTAGGAATAAGTTTTTAGAGTATTTGGTCATCTGATGTCATTCAAATGGACCATAAAACAGCTTCATCCTTCTTCTTTTTTTTAACACAGTACTTTTTTTTGAATGTGTAAGGATATCCTAGTTCAGCAATCTTGAGACTTACTTTTATAAAGCAACCTTAGGTAACTTACATAGCAGCCTTGTCCAGTTAATAGACCTTCTAATAAGGTAGGATTACTTTTTCTTATGGTTTATTGTTTTTGTTTTTTAAAAATAAATGTTACCAAAATAAAGATGGGTCTCATTATTGTGTGTCAAATACCAGTCTGATATTCAAAATATGTTAACCAACCCAGTGCTTCTTCAGGCTCTTCCTATTACCATCCTCCACTCCCCCCCCTCCAAAAAAAAGACTGGGCCCAATAACTGCCCTAAGGGTGAAAGATCTATCCTTAGAGGAAAGAAGGGATAGTCTTAACTAGTTATTTATTAGTATGACAAATTTGTATTCACAAAATACTTGACCTCTTTTGAGCAATCTCCTATAGTTTGCAAGGGACTTTTGGTCTTAAATTGAAGTAGTGATAGAGTTGAAATATTGATACAACACTCCCATCTCTTTTATGATGAAAACACACTTCCCAAATAATAGTGCTAATTATTATTAAGGCCCATGAATAAAAGATAAGAGAACAATTCTTATGGTAGTCCCTTAGTTTTTTTCATAATGTCAATTATTTGATTGAAATTAATTTCAAGATACTAAGTGGATAATAAGCTAAATGTAGCTGTTACAGAAATAAACTGAAGGGATCTTTAATTGCCCACTACTGTGTGATTACCATACATAAATACACAGTATACCTGTTTATTAATAAAGACAACTTTTTGACAAATTTGGCTATGAATAAATATCAAACTATATCAAAGTATTGATTACAAAGGAAAGATCATGACTAGCCCATTTTTGTCGTGGATGCTTTCTAGGAATAGTAAATAATTACTGTTAGACTTAATTTAAAGAAAGAGTATTTTCTAATATTCCACTTGCCCTTTGACTGATAGTCACGTGAGAGTCAGCTAGGGTAGATGGGTAACTAGTTTCACAGAACCTGTCTTTAGCTCATTAAAGTGCTTAAGCATTTTATGAGGAATGGTCATTTCTTTCCTCCCAGAAAGAGGTTTGTGAGTTACATCAAGCAAAAATGGTTTGTCCCAGACAAGGTTTGGTACAATTTTTCTTTTATACATTTTAGCTCTTTACTGACAGAAGTAAAAAATATTCCTCCTAATAGATAAATGCTATCTAAGAGCTAAATGGAAAGTAAACACATATGTTTATTTAAACATATCCTGTCCTGGTTTCCTAGAGTCAAGGAAAACTAGAGCTAGACAGTAGTTAGAGCAGTAAAAACAGATTTCACTTGGGAGCTATTGCCGTATAGGAAAAGAGACCCCTGTATAGAACTGGGTTCAGTTCCTAATATAGCATGGACAGTGAACAAGTCATGACTTATAGGTAAGGAGCAAGTTGGGGGTGGGGGTTAGGGTTGTCAGTGGATGGAAAATTACTAAGAGGAAACACCAGGGGTAGGGAGATTCTGGCTAAACTGACCTAACAGGATTCTTGCTGAAAGCGGGCCAGGTTGACTGGGTATCATCTGGGAGATTGTGGGGGATGAGGAATTTGGTCAGATATTGAGAGTGATCAAAACTGATGTTGGGGATTCTGGCTACACCAACTTAGCAGTATTCTTGCTAACAACTGAGCTCTTAAGGGCAAGGCCCAAGGATCAGGCCCAGTTGAAAAAGTGGCTTAGAGGAACCTGTTTAGAGTTTGTTGAAGGAGAGACCACTGGTCACTAGCAAGCCAAGTACTTTCCAGTGAGCCGCATCCATGTGGCAAAAAAGGGCAGAAGATTTTTTTAAAGATTTTATTTATTTATTTATTTATTTATTTATTTATTTATTTATTAGAAAGAGAGAGAGAGAGAGTGAGTGAGTGAGGGGAGGAGCAGAGGGGGAGGGATAAGCACTGAGTGCTGAGCCTGACACGTGGCTCTATCTCATGACCCTGAGCTGAAACCAAGAGTTGGATACTTAACTGACTGAGCCACCCAGGCACCCCCATGGGCAAAGTACCATCTGGAGAAAAGATTAGTAGGTGATCTCTCAAAAGGACTGACAATAGGAATGTATTTCATTATCTTATTGAACTGATCTGGCTCAGTCTCCCTCTCAGACAAAGACCTATAAAGAGCTGACCCATCTCTGAGTATCAGAATCACATTAACTAAGCTCAGGAGACTGAACAAAACAGACTGCCTACTTACTATTAATTCATAAATAGAAATTGAGTGAGCATGTCCATGGGGATGTTATATGACAATTCATGTCTCCTTACAAGCAGATATATATGAAAAGTCACATCATAAAGTTGCTTAGCAAACATGTTAAAAAAAGAAACAAGTGCAAAATAGAGTCACTTATGGCTTCAGAGCTGAATTCTACCATTTAAAGAAGAGTTACTACCATTCTTCTCAAACTATTCCAGAAAATAGAAGAAGGAAAGCTTCCAAATTCATTCTCTGGGGCCAGCATTACCCTGATACCAAAACCAGATAAAGTCACTACACAGAAGAGAGAGCAAGGTCTCTAATGAACATAAATGCAACAATCCTTAACAAAATATTAGTAAACCAAATCCAACAATACATTAAAAAAAAAAATCATTCTCCCTGATCAAGTGGGATTTATTCCTGGGATGTAAGGGTGGTTCAGTACTCACAAATCAATCAGTGTGACACATTACATCAATACAAGAATGGATAAAAACAATGTGATCATTTCAATAGATGCAGAAAAAACATTTGACAAAGTACAATATCCATTCATGATAAAAACCCTCGAAAAGTAGGCTTAGAGGGAAGAGACATCAATATAATAAAGGCTATCTATAAAAAACTCAGAGCTAACATCATCCTCAATGAAGAAAAACTGAGAGCTATCCCCCTAAGGCCAGGAACAAGACAGGATATCTACTCACCATTTTCATTCAACATAGTACTGGATGTTTTAGCCACAGCAATTAGACAAGAAAAAGAAATGAAAGGCATTCAAGTTGATAGGGAAGAGGTAAAACTTTCACTATACACAGATGACATGATACTATACACAGATGACATGATACTATATATACTATACTATCTACATGATACTAAAGACTCACCAAAAAACTAGAACTGATAAATGAATCAGGAGAGTCGCAGTATGCAAATCAGTGTACAGAAATCTGTTGCATTTCTATACACTAATAATGAAGTAGCAGAAAGAGAAATTAAGAAAATAATCCCATTTACAATTGCACCAAAAATAATAAAATACCTAGGAATAAACCTAACCAAAGAAGGGAAAGACCTGTATTCTGAAAACTATAAAATACTGATGAAAGAAATCAAAGATAACACAAACAAATGGGAAGCTATCCCATGCTCATAGATAGGAAGAACAAATATTGTTAAAATGTCAATACTACCCAAAGCAATCTACAGATTTAATGCAATCCCATAAAAATACCAACAGCATTTTTCACAGAACTAGAATAAACAATCCTAAAATTTGTGTGGAACCACAAAAGACCCCAAATAGCCAAAGCATTCTCGAAAAAGAACAAAACTGGAGGTATCACAATCCCAGATTTCCAAGATTAAAAATAGGCAGAAGACATGAACAGACATAACTCCAAAGAAGACATACAAATGGCCAACAGACACACGAAAAGATGCTCAACATCACTCATCGTCCAGGAAATGCAAATCAAAACCACAATGAGATATCACCTTATACTTGTCAGAATGGCTGATATCAAGGAGACAAGAAATAACAACTATTGGCAAGGATGTGGATAAAAAGGAACCCTCAGGTACTGTTGGTGGGAATTCAAACTGGTACGGCCACTGTGGAAAACAGTGTGGAGGTTTCTCAAAAAATTAAAAATAGAATTACCATATGACCCAATAATTCCACTACTGAGTATTTACCCAAAGAAAATGATAACACTAATTTGAAAAGATAATATGCACCCCTATGTTTATTGCAGCATTATTTACATTAGCCAGAATGTGGAAGCAACACAAGTATCCACTGATAGAGGAATGGATAAAAAAGATATGGTATGGTATCTACAATGGAATATTACTCAGCCATAAAGAGAATGAGATTTTTCCATTTGCAACAACATGGATGGATCTAGAGGGTATAATGCTAAGTGAAATAGAAAGACAAATACTGTGTGATTTCACTCATAT